AAAGGACCTATCAGGAAACATCCACGAGTAAAAGAGCAATGCGGTGGAGCCTTACAGCTCCCTGGGGATAAGGCAGGGGGCCTGAGGGCTTGATGGACAGGTGTATGTTTAGAGCCATCACTGTGCTGCTGTCGTGTTGGTGCCAGGGCCCCACTGACGGGGAGTTTACAGTGGGCCTTCCCTACCTCCAGGTGGAGAGGGTGACCTTGTCCCACCTGTTCTCCAGAAAAGCCACAGTCTCTACTGGTTATTCCAGGTAAACGGTAAAGTCCTGGCTATTCCTCATGTTTTCCTTCAGCCATGCAAAGAAAACACTTGAAAGGAGAGCTGAAGATTTGGCTTCCAACTTGCCGTATTTCCCCTCCCTCATCTCAGTTCAGTGCCACTTCTAGACTTCACAGGTTTAGGATAAATGTTCAAAAAAGGAAATCTTTTGACTGTGAATTTTCTTCCTACAATATTTTATATTTTTTTTTTGTTTTTTGGGGGGTTTTTTGGTACCAGGGATTGAACTCGGGTCCTTGCGCTTGCAAGACAAGCGACGGAACCACTGAGCTAAATCCCCGGGCCAATATTTTATAATCTTTAGGTATGAGAATCTTATCTGTGAGACCTCTCTTGGCTATTAGTATACGAATCTCAATGAAAAGTATCTTAATGAATAAACAGATGCCATACTTGGTACATAATTTAAAAGATCATGGAAAGATTTGGTTTTAGTATTAAATCTAGGATAGAGTGGAAAGTGAATACAAAGTCATACACTATCAGAAAGATTCCTTATTTGTTTTTCATTCCTGCACATGATGTGTTTTATTCAGTTGTTTTTGTTTGTTTTATTTGCAGTTTGTAGTTTACATTTTCTTTTCTGTAGACAGATGTATTCATAGAGCTCGCTAACTGAAAAAAAAAAACACCCTAGTTTATATTTTACTTAAATGTTGTAACTGTCTTTAGTGTCTACCCATAATTAGATAATCATCCATCCACTCACACATTGCTCTTGGTAAGAGAAGGGGACACACTCATTTTTAGTCAAGTACTCATCCTCACACCAGATATGAGGGAAAAGAGGTGAATTCATGCTTCCCTCAACAACGCAGAGTGAGATCTCTTCCTGAAATGAGAACTTGCACTATTGTAAATAAGGCAGTAGTGTGTGGGCAGAAAAAATAAACATTCCTGGGCCAGGGATTTAGCTCAGTGATTCTGCCACCTGCCTTGAAAGCGGAAGGACCCCAGTTCGATCCCTGGTACCAAAAAAAAAAAAAAAAAGAAAAACATTCTTAACAATACACTATTATTTTTGACATAACACAATCACTTCCAAAGGAAATCATAAATGTCAGTGTACAATGACCACATAAGATGTGTGCACATATATTATGTATTATATATTATGCAAACATGAGGTAAACATATATAGATGTTGCTCAGTGCTCCTTGGGTTCAAAACCCAGTGCTGCAATCAGTGAGTCAGTCAATGAAGTATCCTTTCATTTTGTCAGCATGTTTCGTACTTCTCAGTGGGAGGGTTGGTCCAAATTTGTGGCATAGCACAGTTTTACAAATGGAAGTTGGTTATGAAATTTTAAACCATTTTTTTTTTCATTTAGCATTTATCTTTTAAAATCCGAACTCTATATGGTAAGCAACACGTGAATAGATGTTGAGTATGATTAGACTTGGAGAACTTGAAGCCTGTTAATGAATGTGTACACACATGTGCATGTGCATGACATACAAATCCACTCACTGCAAGAAACACTCCTCGAGCCAGGGATGTAGCTCAGCGGCACAGTGCCTGCCTGGCAAGCGCAAGGTGCTAAATTCAATCCCCCCGTACCAAAAAAAAAAAAAAAGAAAGAAACATGCCTCAGGAAGTCCACATCACATAGGTGACACCCTGGGTGGAGATGACTGCATTGTACTGAGCTCAGGGGACCCGCACATCTCCTTGCATGTGGCCCACAATGCATGGAGGACCACAGTGAGAGCATCTGCCCAGGCCATGGGGACAGGTGCTGTACAGCTCAACCCTGCAGCTGTGCTGGGTCGGGCCACTGGGGCAGACCTGTGAATTCATGCTGCCGGGGCTCTGGCTTCTGCTCTAGGAGCCTAAGGGTGACCCTCAATCACAGCTTTCTCCCACACCACCCTTCCAAGAGGCGGCAAGTTTCTCCTGCTGTGTTTCATGTGTGCTTCCGGTGCCATGCTACAAATCAATAAGGAAAGGATTGGCAACTAATGTAAAAAGGAACAAAGACTTTGGAAAGGGACATCACACAGGACATCTGTCCACTTGGAGCAACTGGTTGAAGTAAATTAAAACCACAACGAGATGCTGTCTTATACCTGCTGGGCAATAAAACTTTAAAACTTTGACCATATCATGTTGTCAGGGAGGAAGATTAGCAGGAACTCATCTACTCCCTGTGAGGCATCTTTGTCACCAGTGTTTCGGAGTGTGGGTACACATGTCCCAGGAGGGATGCTGTCCGTGGCCCACTGCCTGGGAGCCACCAGTGGCTGCATGCAGTGCATCTGGTGGGAAGCCATGTGGACACTGGCTGAAGGAGCCCAGCTGCCCATGCCATGGGCAGACTCGACTGCATCAGTAGAAAAATCATATGGCAGAGTCAGGTAGGGCCACACACATGGCCCAGCTGTTCAGACAGGCATAGAGTGACAAACACCAGGTCTGAATTAGATGGCTTCTCAAGTGGAGGCACTGTGGCCCAGGGGTGACCCAACCCCAGTTCCATCCTGGACAGCAGGCACCTGGGCGATTTGTGTCTGTCTGCAGCTCACGTTTACCCATTCATAACTGGGTCATGGGTTTCAAAGGGTGACTCCAGTGCGAGAGTATTTGGGCAGAGAGAGCTGGCTGCACAGATAGAGGGATTGGGGCCTCTTGGAGGATCCAGGATTGGATCCAAGGTATCATCCCACGGAAGGGCACAGAAAGAGAAGGCCACAGGCTGGTGCACCAAGGAGGAGGCAGCACAGGCTCCTGGGCCGGAGCCATCTGCAAGTTCCAGCTCATGTTCCCTTTCCCATGCTCTTGAATTTGGGGGAAATCTTTTTCTTCTGTGTGCTCTGAAAGGAAATCCTTCTGTGCTCACCTTTCCTGCAGGATGCCTGTCTTGAGAGTGTAGCCAAGACCAGACTGCTCAGAAGAGACAGAAGTTGGCTCCCATGCTGGGGAAAGGATGGCAGGATCAGCCATGGACTCACCCACTTTTGTTCTTTTAATGTTATATTAAATATGTAAAGATTCCTTTCAAAAATAATCATGATAAATATTTACGACATCTACCATCTAAACTATTTTTAAGCATGCAATTTTGCATATATTTTGAGAAATGTTAAGTCCTTTGCCTTTTTTTTTTTTGGTATGGGGATTGAACTCAGGACCTTGCGCTTGCAAGGCAGGTGGTGGCACCACTGAGCTAAATCCCCAGCCCTGCCCATTTTTAAATAAGATTTGGCCTGCATGGTGGCGCATGCCTGTAATCTCAGCACTCAGGAGACTGAGGCAAGAGGATTGCCACAAGTTCAAGGCTTGCCTGGACTACATATAGAGTTTAAGACCATCCTGAACTACACAGTGAGACCCTGTCTCAAAAAATCAGTCAGGTTGTGTGTGTGTGTGTGTGTGTGTGTGTGTGTGTGTGTGTGTGTGTTGGTTGACTGAAGTTTATATATTCGGGACATTAACAGTGTATCAGGTATACTTGAAAATATTTTCTTCCATTCTGTTGGTTACTTTATCACCCTGTTGTTAAGAGTCCTTTGAGAGCTGGGGATTTAGCTCAGTGGTTCCAGCGCCTGCCCCACAAGCGCAAGGTCCTGAGTTCAATCTCTGGTACCAAAAAAAAAAGTCCTTTGAAGCACAAAGATTTAAAATTTTTTTTTTTTTGGTACCAGGGATCGAAAAAGATTTTAAATTTTTATAAAGTCCCATTTATCTGTTTTTTTCCTTTGTTGCCTGTGATTTTGTTATATCCAAGGAATCATGGCCAAATCTAGTATCATAAAAGCTTCTCTCTCTCTATGTTTTCTTCTAAGATTTTATAGTTCCAGATTTTATAGCTTTCACATTTAGGTATTTGATTCATTTTGAGTTAATTTTTGCCAGCTTTATTCTTTTGGGTGTGGATATCCAATTTTCCCAGCACTGTTTGTTGAAAATACTACCCTATCCCCCACTGGATAGTCTGAGTACTTTTTGACTATAGATCAAAGATCATTTGACTATATCTTAGTTGGTATGTTCTGAAAGTTGATTTCTGGACTGCTAAGATTGAAAGTTAACATTGACTCCCTCCCTCACCAGCTGTGATGGGGCTTCGAGTCTTTATTCTAGCATTTGGGGTGGGCCCAGCTGCCCCTTTTCCTTCCTGCTTTCTAAAGCCAACATGGTATAAGGCGGATTTAATCAAGTGCTCTTTCTCAACTCCTTGGGTGTAAAAATGGTCTTCTTACCACATCTAACTGGATGTAGAATGGTTAACAATGAGCTGATATGAGCATTCTAACTTGGAACAGTTGATGTTGAACTGGGGGTGCTCAGAGCACATGCTCAGCATGCACAAGGCCATGAGTTCCAATCCCCAGCACCACAAAAAATAAAAACAAAACAAAAAATAAAGAATTAGATTTTTAATTTCTAGTCCTGTCCTTCTTCCCATTCTTCACAACAGGGACCCTAAATATACTTCCCTAACCACTGAACAGTTTACCCTGAGCGTCACTCGGGCAGTGCATTTATTTAGGTACTGACCATCTCGAGTGTCACTCTGGCAGGTGTCATTCCAATCACTTGATTCTCACATTAAATTTGATAAAATTGTCATTTTTATATTTCCTGTTATATTATAAAAGTTAACCCAAAATATGCAGTTTTTGGTCATCCTGTATTTCAGTAATTGGACTGGTATGTGGTTAATGCATTTCATTCTCCCTGTAACCCACAGCTTTGTCTGATTTGTTGACAGGTTGTGAGGTTTTCTCGCATCCCAGTGGTGTGGATAGTGCCACACACCGTCCCAAACAACAACGGCTCTTGTGTACATTCTCCAGTGTTGCTTTTGTCACAGAGCCCAGCAGAGCTGCAGCTCTTCCAGTGTCAGCCCTGAGCTGAGTGAGGAACGTGCAGCAGACATGGTGAAGATGACCAAGTCCAAAACTTTCCAAGCTTACCTGCCGAGCTGTCACCGCACGTACAGCTGTATCCACTGCAGAGCCCACCTGGCCAATCACGACGAGCTGATCTCTAAGGTAAGTGGTTTGCATCCTCAAACTGCTGAAATCCCCTGTGCACAGTGATTTTTTGTCATTGTGGTTCCTGCTTAGTAGCTGAATGTTTAACCGTCATGGACTTCCTGAAAGATTTATGTATAAATGTGGCTAGGCTAAGTCTTAGTGGTGATTTTGGCATGGGTGTCACAATGCTGGCATCAAGGACTCTTGTAAATCCTGAAGAACAAGATGAGGCTGCGATTTGTCAGAGCAGAGTCAGAGAACATTGAAGAAACAAAAATCTAGAAAATCTGTAGAAATAGTTTAATAAGGAATTGAGAATGTCCTTTTAAGGGCCTCACAGATGCTAGGCAAGTGCCCTATCACTGAACCATATCCCCAGCCCAAGAACTTTTTATAAAACTCAGAATAGTTAAGGAAGAAATTCGGGCATGGTGGTGCACACTTGTAATCCCTGCACTGAGAGAGGCTGAGACAGGAGCATCACAAGTTTGAGTATAATTTAGTGACTTAGTCCCTGTCTCAAAATTAAGAATGAATAGCAATATATGTACACCCATGTTCATAGCAGCACAATTTGTAATAGCTAAATCTTGGAAACAGCTCAAATGCCCATCAACCAATACATAGATAAAGAAGATATTTTTTTTTACAACAGAGTACTACTTAGCCATAAAGAAAGATAAACTTGAGACATTTATAGCCAAATGGATGCCCCTAGAGACCATACTCTTAAGTGAAATAAATCGAACACACATGTGTAAATACCACATTGTTTCTCTGGTGTGAGAAACTAAACTTGTAAATAAGGACTGAAATGTATAATGGATGTTGCAAAATAGGAAGAAAATGTTCAAATGAGAAGGGGCATAAGGGGGGGGGTAAGGGAAAGGAAGAGAAAAGAAAGATAAAATGGAAAGAGCTCTTGGAAATAAGAATGGAGAAGAATGGGAAAAAATTATGAATCAAAATATATCATGTGCAGGTACAAATTCCATACAATGAATGTGATCATCATGTCTATCTAAATTGTACTAGTAAACTTAATTAAAGATTAAAAAACAAAAAAATTAAGAATGAAAAAAGACTGGGATTATAGCTCAGTGGTACCACACCCCTGGGTTCAATCCCCAGTACCCTCCACCACACACACATGCAGGAAAGAGGCTGCTCAGCAAAAAGCCCAGGGCTGGGAGTATAGCTCAGTGGTAGAAAAGCTTCCTAACACCAAAAGAAAAAGAAAGAAACATAACCATCCACAAGGCCTGGCCATCGGGCAGGAGTCTGTGGGAGGATGGGAGTGAAGCTCTGGTTTGTCTCTGGGTTCAGGGACAAGAACATCCTTTAAGATGTAAATAAAGAACCCCTTCCCCTTCCTGCTCCATTAGCAGTGTGTGATGTTTAGACTCAGCCAGGTGGGAGCAGTTGGAACAACCCAAATGTAATGGACATGTCACCATCTGCTCCAGAACCTCAGTCCTCACCTGTCCTGCCCCAGAGGGGCCCATCACTGACTCGCTCCCAGCAGTGCCACGACTGCCCTGCCCATCCTCCCAAACCATTTGAAAGTCCTGTCAGGAAGCTGCACCTTTCCTGAATCTCTTCCTTGGCTTCTTGTTTAACTTAATTAGAAGAATATTCGTCTACTTGTCTTGTCAGTAGTAGTAAGAGGTTGTCTCATTTCTGTTCATCATCTGAAATGAAAACTGCAAGGGCAGTTTCTGCTGTCTTGTTGCCTCTGGCTCCTTTGCCTCTCTAGAAGGTTCAGGAAAGCAGTAGAAGCTTGTTGGGCACCTTGTTTTCCAAAGCACTCTCAGGGCATGAACCAGTGTCACAAGGATTGACAGAGCCATGACACCTGCTCTTGTCTACAACCTTTCACCAAATACATAGTCAAAGTCAGATGCCATTATCATCTGAAGAATTCTGAGTGTATTCATCATTAGGGGAGCCAGAAGGAGTTTGAGATGCTTCTTTCAAAGGGCCCCAATGCCATTAACTGTTTTTAACTTTACATCAAGAGCAGAAGCCAGCTCAGAAAGGAGTGGAAAGAAACTTATCCATCACAACACTAGATGAGGATTTCAGATTGAAAAGACCAAGAACCAAACTCTCCAAGCACCCAGGCTGCCAACAAGTGTCAGATCTTGCATTAGAGCTGGTGCGGAAGATGACAATGATAGGAAACTCTCTTCCCTCCTGTATGTCATTATTCCAATTGGAGCACTTGATCAAAACATTAAAAGAACACCTTTTCCCAGTACTGAGCTATGTCTTCAGCCCTTTTTATTTATTTATTTATTTATTTGTTTATTTATTTGTTTATTTATTGAGACAGGGTCTTGCTAGTTGCCTAGGCTGGCTTCTAACTTTCAATCAAGTAGCTGGCTTTGCAGACGGGTATCACGTGCCCAGCCAGAACATTTACTATGTGGAGCAGATTCCAGTACACTTGAGGCTGGGGCCTCCTTCTTCACAGGTACTTGCTAGTTTCTGAGTCCATCTTTGTCACCAGCAGGGAATCCCTAGGAATCATCCAAGGGAGCCCCTTCTTGTTAGTGGCAGCTCCAATTGCTAAAATGGCCTCTCTAGTTCATGAGCCATATCTGCACTGTAGCCCAGCACTCCACCTGCTTCTGTGCACTTCTGTAGGGTCACAAGTGTGCTCACCTGTTTCCAGTCCAGAGCTACTTTTTGCTATGACAAAGTAGTTGGAGCAGAGGCCCAACAGCCTATAAAGCCTAAGCCATTTTATTTCCTGGCCCTAGTTTCCAGCATCTGGTTGCCCTGTGCTCTGAGGAGACTGAAGTCTGACTCTGAATCATAGAGCTGCTCCTGTCACTGATCCAAACCCTGGCGAAAACCTGAGGACTTGAAGAGGAGTCAAGAGAATTAAGAAATTCAGTCTAGAAAGTTGACGACTGATAAGGATATGTGAAAAGCCTGTAAGACAATTAGTAAAATTCAACACAGAATAATATTCCTAACCCTAGAAATCCCACCTGAGGGATGACTCCTTTTTAAGTCTAAAAGCTGTATGTATGTATGTATGTATGTATGTATTTATGTTTGTTTTTTGAGACAGAGTCTTGCTATTATTTCAGGTTGGCCTTGAACTCACTATGTAGCCCAAATTGGCCTTGAACTCACTATGTAGCCCAGGCTGGCCTTGAACTTGAGTCAATCCTCCTGCCTCAGCCTCCCTGAGTGCTGGGATTACAGGTGTGTGCTACTATGCCCAGCATTAAAAGCTGTATTTTAAAAATTAGAACACTGGGCCGGGGATGTAGCTCAGTGGCACCGAGCCTACCTGGCAAGCCCAAGGTCCTGAGTTTGATCCCTGGCTCTGAAAAAATCAGAACACTGATGCACTTGTAGCTCTGTGGTAGAGCATGTGGTTAGCACCTGTGAGGCCATGATTCAGTCCCCAGCACCACAAATCAAAACCAAAAACATGCCTAGCACCAAGCAAGGTAGAAAAAGCCTCTCAGAGCTTAAAACAAAGGATTTCATGCTCAGGTGAAATAACCTATCTTGGGTCAACCGGAGGCTCAGCTTTTTTTTTTCTTTTTCTTTTTGGTAATTTAAAAAGAAATTATTGCTGATAATCACACATTAAAATAGCATATATTGGCACAGGTGGTGTCCAGCCACCTGGGAGGCCAAGGTGAAAGGGTTGCTTGAGCCCAGGGGTTCAAGGCCAGACTGGCAACACACCCAGACCCCGTTTCTTGGGAGGAAAAAAGCCAAGTGCAGTGACACATACCTGTAATCTCAGCTGCTGAGACAGGAGGCTCACAAGTTCCACTTAGCCTATTTCAAAATAAAATTAAAGACTGGAGGTGCCATTTTAGTCATTTGCAGAATGTTGAAGCAAAAGCATTAGCCACTTCCTGAGTCAGTATAGACCCAAAAGCAGCTCGTGATATTTAGTGTCAGTTACCATTAGCAAAGGAGTTTGAAGGGACATCACATCTGCTCTTTTGTCGCCTGTCCTGGGGGAGGTAATGGAACCTGTGAGGTGCCTTGGGCTGTAAGAGCAGTTGGCTTTCTGGTGCTGGTGCCCACGTCCTCACTCCTCGCAGGTTCATTCCAGATGCAGAGAAGCTGTCCCTGGGCTCTGGCCACAACCAGTCTTCTAACACCTACTTCTTCTTTGCAGTCCTTTCAGGGCAGCCAGGGACGAGCCTACCTCTTCAACTCCGTGTGAGTACTTGCTGCTTACTCTGTCTGGCTGCGGCCTGTGGTCTGGGTAGATGGCTTTAGTCCACCTGGTCAATTACACAGAGAAGTTCCACCTGCAGTCTCAAGTTACCCACTCAGTGCCTTTATCCGACCCTGGTCTGGGAGTTCCTGAAATGTTGTTTTATTTGAGGATTTAGCCTGCCAGCCTGTGCCGTGTTCGCATTCTCCTGGGGATATAAAAAGTTATTCCCAGGCCAGGCCTGGAGCTCAGTGGCAGAGTGCACACCTAGTCTTTGGGAGGCCTTGGGTTCAATTCCCAGTATCCTCCACCTCCTCCAAAAAAGTTGTTCCCTCTCCATACAGGTGGTTGTCTGCAGTAGGTGGGGGAGCTGAGAGGTGTAGTGCCCTCTCTCAGGAATCCTCCCTGTTTCTGGTGGTCTTTTTTTTTTTTTTTTTTGGTACTGGAAATCGAACTCAGGACCTTGCACTTACGAGGCAGGAGGCGGAACCACTGAGCTAAATCCACAGCCCACTGGTGGTCTTTTAATGACAGGCTCTGGGCCAGGATGGAGGAAGCCAGCAGCAGGACAGGAAAGGGGGATGTCCAACATGGTCACACCTGTGTCCCTACAGGGTGAATGTGGGCTGTGGCCCTGCCGAGGAGAGGGTCCTTCTCACCGGGTTGCATGCGGTCGCAGACATCTACTGTGAGAACTGCAAGACCACACTTGGGTGGAAATATGTGAGTACCAGCCTCTCTGACAGCGAGCTGCGCATAGACACAGCCAGTTGAGAGTGAGTCACATGTACCCCGGCAGCAGGATAGATGGCATCACAGTCAAAGATGACATATTTTCCAGGAGTTTCTTTCCAAGCTGGCTAGGGACAGTGAAGACCCAGGGCCCACTTTGTTCACTGCACGTGGCTGGTGACAGGGCTAGCCTGGGCCCCACAGGGGGCTGCTAGAAGACCGCTCTCACCACTCAGGCCAGCAGGACCCACTGGGGTCGGAGGCAGAGGGCTGCCTGCAGCTGGCAGTCTCTTCTCTGGAGGCCCTACTTTCTCCCCATACCTTGAGCTGGAAGTTGCCATCCCCGCCCACCTCCAGCCTTCACCTCTCCCTTCTCTCTCAAAGATGATAAGCCTGCCCCTCCTGCCCTCCTGTGCCCCCACCCACAAGGTCTGGCCTCCCTCCTTGCTCACCGAAGACTCTCTGAGGTCTCTTCCCTCACTGCAGAGGCCAGCAAGGTGCTCAGTCTCTGCTCCGGCCTCTGTCCAGCACCCACTGTCATCTGCTGAGCCCTCCCTCCCCTGGGCCACAGCAGCCTGGCATGGTTCTGACCACCTCATGTGGGCAGTTTCCAAACATCTGCCTCTGCCTGGTTTCTCTCCCAGCAGATGCCGCACCCGGACTCTGGCACTCAAGATGCCTCCCTTGCATGGCACCCTCCTTTTCTAAAGGTGTCTCCCGCATTCTTTCTGGCTTGGGAGTTCCTCACGTCCAGGCTGCCTGTGCTCCCTCGTTCTTGCATTCCTGACTGCCTCTGGCCTCCTGGATTTCCTATGGGCTGTGAGAGGAGACAGTCCCCGCACAGAGCCAGGCTCTGTGAAGCCTTCAGGGGACCCCAGCGCCTCTACCTGTTTAGCTCTGTACCATCTCCGTGGCCCCTCTTCCCAAAGCCCTGTCCTTCCTTCATGGCCACTGCCCCGAGTGCATCCCTGTTGCTGCACCTGTCCCCACTGGGCCATCTCTCCTGTGTCTACTAGGCATGACTCACTCCAGTCATCTGTGTCCTTAGCACCTCACATCAAGCCACACACTTGATGTGACAAAATGATGAGGGAGTGTCTATAGCCATACTTCCCCAAAGAAGGCCGACTCATCTGAACATCTTTGACCTGTTTTTTTTCCATCATCTCGCTTTGCTTAATGTTCTTCTTCATACCTCCTGAATTGGCCCGCACATTCTAGATGTTCAGTAAACAGATCTGTGTGCACGTGCACCTGTGTGTGCTGGGAATGGAACCCAGGGCTTCAAATCATGCCAGGCAAGTGGGTGTGCTGGCACAGGACTATAATCCCAGTGCTCTGGAGGCAGGGGCAGGAGGATTGCAAGTTCAAGCCCAGCCTGGGCAACTCAGCAAGACCCTGTCTAAAACTGAAAATTAGAAAGGGTTGAGGATATAGCTCAGTGTAAAGGCCCTGGGTTCAATTCCCAGTACTGAGGGGAAAAAAGAAAAAGAAAAGACATGCCAGGCAAGCACTCGACCACTCAGCTCGGTCCTAGGGCTGGTAAACATGGAACATTGCCATGCAAGCACAAGGAGGAACTACATGTGCCCCACGGACATGTCACCCGAGACAGACCCTCTGGCACCGGGTCAGCACTTGGCTCAGGGAGCATCTGGTACAGATGATGTGAAAGATTTATTCTCTTTGCCAAGAGTATGGAGAAGTTGAAAAATGAAACAAATCCTGTCCTGAAACCTTCTCTCTCTGCTTTTTTCCCTTTAAGGAACATGCCTTTGAAAGCAGTCAGAAATATAAGGAAGGAAAATTTATTATTGAGCTTGCCCACATGATCAAAGACAATGGTTGGGAGTAAAGTGGAAATATTCCGTTCTCTTTTGAATACTGTTTTATGAAAGACTGTGAATGTAATGGAGACATAGAGCATCCTGGACAACAATATTTCTTGAACTTTAACCTCGAAGGCTAGCCACACTGCAACACTCTAAGGCCTCTCTGGGCCATCTCTGTGGGTAAGGTATTCCTGTCTGTGTCCTCTTCATCTATATGGTTGTTGCTGGAAGTTTTGAGTGTTCTTTTTCTAACTTCCAAGTTCTAGAGAACAAATCAACCAACTGACAACTTACCTGCCAAGTTACTTCTTTCTCTTAATGCCTTCCATATAGTGTGGCTGTCTTTCACATTCAGTAGCAAACCAAGTCCCTCAGACCACAGATAGGACTCCTTCAACAGCAAGTGTCACATCTTTTTTTTTTTTTAAAGAGGAAAGTACTGTAGTTTTCTCCCTATTTCTTGAAACTACAAATTTGTTATTCCTCCTGCAGATGAACTGTGAAAACACAGTATCCATTCAAGAATCTTCCAAAAGCAGTCAACAAATTTATACACAAAGGACATTGTTTTTTAAGCCTGTTTAAAAACAGAGGACACCACTGATAGCATTTTAGATAAGCTATAAATAGAGAGATGTGTTAACAAATGTCTTATTTATTTATTTAAGCCATTAGATCCATTATCTAGAAAGCAAGTGAACTAGTTGCTAGAGAAGACCATTCTGGGGCCTGCAGGGGCCCAGTTACTGAGGAAACAGCCTCCTGGATCTGGTCCTGGGGTTGTGCCCTTGGTGGTGACAGCAGCTCACATGTCCAGCGTTGTTGAGTGGCTGATCCATGTTGTTAGAGAATAGGATTCTGAACCAAGTGTAAGTCCAATTTCATTTTTGACCCTGGATGTACTTGAAGAAAAAGAATTTTTTTTTTGCCTATGAAAGAGGCCAGAACCAGCAGGAAAAACCTTCAAAACTCGAGATTTACCATATTGTTTTAAATTTTTTTCAGAAAAGGTCAAGTTGCAAAGCAGGCTTAAGTATTCTAAAGAAGACATTTGGTTTCCTGCAAGAGGCACCCTCCCTGCCTGGCCCTGTCAGGCGGCCCAACACATAGGAGCCTGCCTGTGCAGTCCCTCAAGGCCTATGTTTCTGTTGTGGATTTTAAGTCATGGCCTGTATCTTCCAGGGCCTCTGCAGGTCAATTTGCAGAGAATGAAGGCCAGAAAACATTCCCAGTGAGTTTTGGTTTTCACTATTTTGTACTGACTCAGGGCAGAGGGGCAGGAAAAAGGTCAAGAGAGGCTGAGGGTCAGGATAGCTCCAACCTGGCAGACAGCTCTCTGCCGTGGACAAAGGTAGTCTAGTGGCAGTGAAAGCAAGCTGGCTGAGGATAAGAAAGTGACTTCCTATTCAGTGTTAGCTCCTTGTCCTCAGCCCCAGCCGTGCCCATTGTAGGCACTCAGCTGCCACCTGGCTCCAGCTCACTGCTCACCCCAAGCTTCCCTTTATCCAAGACTAAGCCTTGGAAGGTGGGGAACACCAGTGCCCTGGGCCCAGTGGCCTGGCTCGCATGGCACTGATGCATCAGCTCAGCAGGAGCAGCAGTGGTGTATTACTTTTAAACACATCCTCACCTTGGCGGACATCTTGGCATGGTCTGTAGCCTCTGCCTCTGGCTGTGGTCCAGCAGGCTGGTTTCTCTCAGAGCCAGTTCCCTACAGGCATACTGGCTTGGCTGTCACTGTAGTCCTAAATTTGCAAATGGCTTCACACCCAAGGTGTCCTAGCTCAAGGAATTGCTCCAGCCAGTGGTGTTGCCATGCACTGCAATCTGAAGACAGCGCCTTCATTCCACTGGCTGAAATGGGAAGGGTAAAGACACCTTCCTCAATGGAGGAATGAGCGCTAGTGAGTGAAAGGTGGCCAAGAGTGACGCTCCCTTCTGCTCTTCATTCCTCATGAGTGGGAACTTAGGCCGGAGGCTCAGAGGATGAAGGAAAATGGGTGGGCTCCTGTCGTCGCCAGCCTCCCAGGGTGAGCCAAGGCACCCTGAGCAGCCTCCACAGATGCTTCACTGAAAATGAGGAATGAATTTTCTAGAGTTCTTCAACCAGTTTTGTGCGTGTGTGTGTATATATATATACACACACACACACATATATATATATATATATGTATATATATAGTGTTATATTTAAAGCTTTTATATGTTCTGGGCAAGTTTACTGCTCCTTCAATTTGAGCACTTTCGTTTTTGTATTGTCTTGTGATGGCGCTGACTGAAAACTTTTTACTAGTATTCTTATGACTCGTTTTGTACTTTCTTCTGGAAAAAACAAGCTCCTTTTTAAACCAAATGAACTGACCATGAGCTGGCTTCAGGGGAAATGATACAAGACTATAACCAGATGTGCTGGTGAAGTGCTGGAATGCTCCACACTCTTAAATTCCTACACAATAAATATCCTGTGACTTTTATTTAAATTATTTAAAGTATTTCCTTGAGAACAGTGGGAACTAATGCCAGGATTATGAATGCATCTGTAGTACCCTCTGGAACAGTAAATTTGCTTTAGCAATGTAGTTCTTTGTTGCTGTTTTATATATAAACACAGTATTTTTATATCTTAATGCTTATTGATGGCATCTATCAGATATTTGAAAGGATCAGAAATGAGATTTTTTTCCAAAAGTCCTTTATTCTACCTGATGACCATATCAGGCAATTATAAAATCCATGTGGTTTTAATATCTAGAAAGCTCTAAAATGAACTACAGAAATGTCAGCCCTCATTTGTAAAGGCCTGGGCGAGAAAGAGCAGGGCCTGGGTCCGCTCCTCCTTCCCAGGGCAGGCTCAGGCCACTGATGAGGCTGCGTGGTCAGGAGGACACATGGATGGCAGCCTGGAGGCAGCTGGAGACTCCACCTTGAGGATGGGACTGACAAGCTCGCGCACACGTACTGCCTTCAGCCTAGCCTGCCCCCTGGCTGCAAGGCCAGCCTTGGTCCTGTGTCCATGTGAGGTTTATAAATAAAGCTTCCTATGTCAGACTTCTTGGCTTCTTGGTGCTCACTGTGAGGAGGCCCTTCCTTGATGTGAAGGGATGGGCCTGGCTTCCTCCAGTGCCCGCATCGGGGTCTCAGAGCTGCTCCAGGGACTGAGGGTTGCCAGGGTCCTGCTTCTGTCATCGCCTGGTCATAGAGCTTTTGAATGTGGCCAGAGAAGAGCATAAGAATATGATTAGAGGGCCGGGGATTTAGCTCAGTGGTTCCGCCACCTGCCCCGCAAGCGCCAAGGACCCAAGTTCGATCCCCAGTACCAAAAAAAAATGAGTATGATTAGGGTGACAAAGGGGCCGCACCCCCGACCCCCAAAGGTGTTGGGCTGTCCCATGGTTCCTTCCACCGCACCCTCCCTGCCCCAAGGGTCTCTGCCCCCACCCCCACCTCTGAGCTCCCCAGTGATGGCTCAAAGGCCTACAGGTTTATGTCCACCTGGTCAACCCCACACTCTTCAAACCCTCCCCTCCTCTTGCAGAAGTAAAGAATCACGGCCCAGAGCCAGACAGGTTGCTGGGAAGGACCTGAGGGAAGGGAGCCTGGCAGAAGATGAGGGATGTGGGGATGGAAGGTCACTGTGGTGCTGGGGCCCTGACTCGCAGACAGGAGTGGCTGCAGAGGGACAGGCTGGAGAAGGGGGAGCCACCCTGTGGGGAGGCACAGACCTTATTCTTAGCACAAAGAAAGCCAGTGACTGGAATAAAGCCAGGTGACTGTGGGAAAACATGCCTTGTGACGGTCACTCAGCAGCAATACAACGTGGCCAAGGGCAGGATGGACAGTGATGGGTGGATGCAGAGGGACAGGGCTTAGGCATGTGGTTTCAGCAGCAGAGAAAGAAGCAGGAGCCCAGGGGTATTCCAGAACTAAGAGCTGTCAAGAATCGCTGATGGGTTCAAGGGTGTCGGTGTAGAAAAACAGAATGAAGCCCAAGTTAGAATTCGGTGTAACTGGAAAGTGGGTAGTGCCCAAGGATGACGGGGAGCCCAGGACAGGTAGGGGATGGTGAGGAAACACTGACCCCAGGATGCTGTCCCAGAGGAGGAGGCTTTCCAGAAAGCTGAGGTAGCAGGGCTTGAGAGGAGGAAGAGGGAAGCTAGGCTGGGGCATTAATTTTTTGGACACGTCACGAAAAAAATAAGGGTCAAAGGAGGGATCAGGAGACACTGGTACAACTGCCCTAGAAGCCAGAGGACTTGGTGACTGGGTGGGTCTGAGCAGCAAAGCCATTTCCTCAGCTGGGGACAGTCTGCTCACCCTCATCACAGCAGGAGTTGTCAGCTGAGAATGACTCAGCTGAGGGGCCAAGCACACAGAGTAGGGGCCCCAGTTCCAAGCAAGGGGCAGCAGAAAAGGTTTGTGAAAGTATGGCCAACGCTCTAGTTCACGGTCAAAAACCTCCAAGGGTTTATCACAACAGACTGGGCAGCCCCAGTTCCCAGCAGCTCAGGGTCAGGTCTGGGGTCTGAGAAAGCGGCCAGCCTATGGGTCGTCCCTGGGGAGACGATGAAAGAGGGAGCATGGAAACCAGAATGGGGACACAGGTTTCTCCACTAGGCCAGACCTGCCCACAAGAGGTCCCAACCCCAGGCAGGCCCAAGCCTTAGGAAGGAATCAGGCCCCTTGGCACCAGCAGAGGGACCAGGAGGCCGGGGGCTAGGAAAGGGCAGCCGGGCAACAGGCAAGAGCTTTATTGGATCACAGCCTGAGAGGCAGCTTACAGGGCAGAAAGCTCAGCACCATGGACACAGATCCCCAGGCCCACACTCCTACCAGGATCCCAGGATCCAGTGTGGCCCGCCTGCTGCTACCAGGAGCTGAAGTCCCCAAAACCCCGACTGGGCTTTTTCTTAGCTACAGGAACAGCTGTGCTGGTTGACGGTTCTTCCTCTGCCACGCGTTTCCTGAGAAGAACCAGGTTCTAGCGGCTACAGAGGCGCCAGGCCTCACTCAAACTGAGCTGAGAGCCTGTGCTGCCACCCCCAATTCCCCACAGTCCCTTCAAGGTGACTCAGAACCCTCACATGGCCCTCCCCTCAGAGGCATCCCCCTAATAGCATGCTTCACCTCAGGTCGGGGTCCTGATTGCCTTGGGCTGCACAGAGGCCCTGGCCAACCTGCACAGAGCAGGTCCCTCTGGCTGGGGTGGCCCCAGGCCACAAGGTTAGTCCGAGCCCAGCCCCTGAGGTTAGCTCACTCACGTGGCTGCCGGGTTGATGTACTTGCCCACCCCGTGGCGGTATGTCTGGGGGCCCTGGGTCCCAGACTGGGGGGGCTGGTTGGTCTTCACCTTGGCCTCTGGAGTTACTTCAAGCTTCGTCTTCCGCTCCTGAGCAATCTGGGGAGGAGCAGGGCTGTGGCTAACCCGAATGGGGAGTATGGGGGTCCCCTCCCTGGCAGGGTCGGCTAGCTGCAGCCTTCCCAGTGGCACCCTGAGCCCTCCTCACCTGGGCATCAGCCTCCTCGTAGGGATCCACGAACACTGTGGTGGCGTCAATGCGGACCTCCTCCTGGGGGCGGGTGGCTCAGTGAGTGGGCACATAGTGGGCTCCCCTCTCCTCAGCACCCACTTGGGCACATACCTTAGGGCGGTCCGTCTTGGGGTCACTCTCCACATTCTCCATGGCTGTCAGTGTGTCGAAGCCTCCAACAACCCTGCAGCAGCGGGACAGAGGGGGTCTGCATGTGCCCCAGGCAGTACCCGCTACAGCCATGTTCCCGAGGCATGCCAGGACAGGGACTGGGCCAAGGTAAGGCACCCATGAAGTTGCCACTGGGTTAGACTGGCCTGATAGTCCCAGGGCGCTGGTGAGAGGCAGAGGCTGGAGGAGAGGAGGTGTGGTCAGAAGACAAGGCCTAGCTATGTGTAGCTCTCAGTTATGGGGACAGAACCACTCTGCTGCTCCCATATTGCCCCTGTCTGTTTTCTGCTGTGACCCCAGAGCTAAGTCCTCGCCACAGAGACTGTGTGGCTGGAATTGCCATCGGGACCTTTATGGGAAAGTCTGCTGACTCCTGCCTGGACAAGACAGGACATGGGCTAGACTTCTGACTTGGGCACCATCCAAAAGATGCCCAGAGTGGGAGGACAGAGGGTTTGGGCAGCTGGACAGGCTGGGCTGGGACTCTTCTCCTCTCCTTAGCCCCTTGGGGCTGGCCAGCCAACCTTCCCCACCCTGGAAACCCCCAAGCCTCCTCTGCGCAGGCCTCAGCGGTGACACAGCAAGGATACAATGAGCACAGTCCCAGTGAGAGGTCCTAGCCGGGGAGGGCATGGCCAGCTGTGTAACACCCCAGAATTCTCACAGCAGCTGCCCTTACCGTCCAAAGATGGTGTGCTTCTTGTCCAGGTATGCACAGGAACGGAAGGTAATAAAGCTGGAGGAGAACAGAGGGTCAGGGTCCATTGTGAGCCACCCCGCCCGCCTGCCCCTTCCCGGTGATTACAGGGGCCACATCGGGAGCCCCTGGCCTTCAGGACCCCTCCAGGAACCTGCTGCTTCCATGCACATCTTGTGTACCTGACTCCCAGGCAAGGCTGTTAGAAGGTCACAAAGTAACCCCAGACCACCAGCTAGGCAGGACAAAGCCCCGGGCTCCAGCTCCCAGCCTCCTGTGAACAGGCACTGTGCCCCTCCGGAGCTTGCCCAAGTAGTTGCTTCAGGAAGGCAGCTGGGACGGGGCCAGAGCCCAGCCACATCACAACATCTGCTGAAGGACCAAGCACAGCAGACCAGGAGAAAGGCAGCGACAGAGCAAGAGCACCAGAGGAACTGAGAACCTTGGGTAACAAACATACAGACCCAGAACATGACCCCATCAGATATGGCATGAAAACAGTGCAGACTTAGTGTGCGACAAGGCTGGTATGTAAGACAGCTGTGGGGACTGGCAAGATCTCCACGTGTCCTGTCCTGGGACGCGTGGATATATCACCTAGTGACTTTACACATAAACAGACTTCTTTAGTTCAGAAGTAAATTATCAAGCTTCCAAATGAGGAGAAAGGAAAGAGAAATGAAAAGGAATTTTTTTTTTTAAAAAAAGGGTGATTCAGAAGCATAAAGACCCCAGAAAGCAGAATACCAATCAGAAGTTAAAGGCACACCTCATGCTGTCAGGATGAATTAGAGTAAGATGGAATTCAAGTGTGTGCCAGTAAAAGCTAAAAGTGAAGAGGTAGAAGACATCAGACAAAAGGAGGAAGGCAAGAAGCATCCTGGGACGAGTTACAATGCAGGAGGTGGGAAGCCACTCCCCAGAGTGTGGCAGGGAGGCATGACAGCATGCTACCCTTCTCCCTAACAGCCCACACAGACCTCCCCAGCAAGCCACACGAGACCGAGGCACCAGGCCACATCAAAATGCCTTGCTCAGCTGAGCAGGAACTCTCCTGAGCCCATCAGGCTGACCACATGTGAGGCCACCAACCAGTCAAGATTCAAAGATGTCAAACCTACAACCATGCAGACCCAGACATTCCAGCACTTTCTCTCTTACTAATTTCTAACACAGTTAAGAAGGCTAGAAAGAGAGTAAAATAAGCCAGAAGAAAATAGGAGGGAGGCTGGGCATGGTGGTGCACACTGTGATCCCAGCACTTGGGAGGCTGAGGTAGGAGGATCACCAGGATTTCGAGGCCAGTGTGGGCTAATGAGTTCAAGGCCAGCCTGAATTACACAGCAAGACCCTATCTCAAAAACAAAACAAGACAGGGGCCAGGGATTTAGCTCAGTGGTTTTACCACCTGCTGCGCAAGCGCAAGGACCCAAGTTCAATACCCAGTAGCAAAAAACCTCAAAAAAACAAAAAAAAAGGCCAGGGATTTAGCTCAGTGGTTCCGCCGCCTGCCTCGCAAGTGCAAGGACCCGAGTTCGATCTCTGGTACCAAAAAAACCCAAAAAAACCAAAAAACAAGACACAAAACAAAACAGAGAAGTTAAAGAATAACAAAGGGGAAAACCAAGATGTAACAGAAATAAGGTCAAGTTCTTTGAGAAAATTGGAACTTTGAAAAAGTTGTCTACTTTGCAACTTTATAAAAGTTGTCAGAGAAGGGACAAAAAAAACTAAGAGAAGGCAACTGACCAACTAGCAGTTTACAAACTACTGAAGAAAAGAGTTAGAAATACATAATTTAAAAAAACCCCACAATAAAGCGATCTCCCTGCGCTCAAACAGTAACAGAAACAAACTTACAAGGAAATAAGAGATGACCCTAGAAAATCTTGGCTGAAAAGTAACTACAAGAACAAACAGGGCTGGGGATTTAGCTCAGTGGTTCCACCGGCTGCCCTGAAAGTGCAAGGAGCCAAGTTCGATCCCTGGTACCAAAGAAAAAAAAAAAAGAAAGGAACAAACTACTCACAGCTAGCAAGCCCTAAAAGAGATATGTGCACCCTTAAAACGTGCAGGACAGGGGTGTAGAGCAGTGCATGCATCCCTGGATTCTACCCCCTGCATACACACACACAAACCAAAAGATTTATACAAACGGAAAGTTGAGCTACATTCTTAAGATGATGCATAAATGCAATGTATACACCTATTCGTTCAGTACAAGTGTCCAACTCCTCCCAACATGGCCAGGCTTCCACAGGTCCTGCCGGCCCTCCCTTGGCCGCCTGTCCCATGGAGCTCCCACCCAATGCACTCTTCCAGGGGCCCCGGCTGCCATGGCACCCCTCCCGGCCTCACACTGGACGGTCCTGGTCCCACCAGCTGGCTTTCCAAGAGGCCTCTCAGGACCTCCTGGTGAACCACTGACTGCCCCTCCCGTGGGTACACAACACCACGTGCTGCTGCCTGCTGACCCACGCAGGGGCTCCCTTTCTGCACACAGGAGCACCCCTCGGCCTAGGGGTGCTGCACGGCCTGGATGTGATTGAGGCCCAGAATAACCTCAGGAAGTGCTCAAGGTCCCGTCTTAGGCCACCCCACAGCAGTCAGGCTGGGACAACTAGGCTAAGACTCACAACTGGGACTTGTTGGTGTTGGGCCCTGAGTTGGCCATGCTGAGGATGCCTCGGCCTGTGTGTGAGAGGTTGGGCCGGAACTCATCTTTGAAGGCCTTTCCCCAGTACGACTCCCCTCCTGGAACAGAAAGGAACATAGTTGGTTGGCAGTAGGAACCTGAGTCTCCAGGGGCATTAGGCACTGGCTGGGGCAGGAGCAATTACAGGGCAGGCCCTCAGGTAGCTCACTGCTAACCTCCCGCAGGCCCCAGTGCCCACACATCGGCTGAGTACTGCTCATGCACCACCCTCATGAGGTTTACCACGGTGCTCTGCAGAGCAGAAAGGCAGTTGGGAGAGGCAGCTGGGATGGCCAGTCCCTTGTCTCCTAAAGGAGGGTGTTCCTGAGGGCCCAGGAAGAATATCCTCCCCAGCTGTCATGGAGGCCTCACAACCACCTCAAAATGGGAAACTGAGGGTTGTGCATGGGGTGGCACCGAGCACTGGTGGCTCAGGAGCAATCCAGGGCTCTCCCACCTGCCTGTCCCCTCGGGCCCCACTGAGCAGTCCAAGAGGTCAGGGATGGACCCAGTTTTGGGACCTACCTGTGCCTGTGCCTGTAGGGTCCCCGCCTTGGATCTGTGAGAAAAAAAGCTAGTGAACAAGTTAGCCTGAGGGTACATCCCGCCACCTGCTGCCCACCAACCACTGCCCACCTGTCAGGTGGGCTCACCACTCTTGTGAGGACCTCAAGGGGCCGCATCAGCCCAGCTGCACATGGGCTGGGGACTCAAGAGCCAGCCTGCAGGTTCCCTGGCAGGATTCATCTACAGGGCACACACCAGCCACCACAGGCACACACCAGGGTGCCAGGGGCAGGGCAGAGACAATGCCCCCACTCACACACACAACTGCAGGCTTGTGCCACTCACCACAAAGTTCCTGATAGATCTATGAAAGATGGTGCCATCGTAATAGTGCTTCTTGCAGAGCTTGATGAAGTTTTCGCAGGTTTTTGGTGTCTGCAAAATAGCCCAATGCTTCTGTGACTCACATAGCAGCCAACAACAGGGTCACAAAAGCGACAAAGAGCCTTTATCACATAGTAAGGCTGAGTGGCTCCTGGTCCTGGGGACCCTGGTCTGGTCAGGCCCCAACAGGGCAAAGACCCCAGAAGCTAAACATAGGGTACCCACAGTTATAGGACCCATGGCAGAGCAGAGGTGGAACCAGGCCCCTTGCCTGGGTGCACACACAGCACACCCACCCACACAGGCAGAAAAGCCAAGCTGTGATGTGACTGGGCCCCAGGAAGGAAGCCAGAAAATCTCAACTTCCTCTTGGAGACAGGCTGGATTTTCCACATGCACATACTAACTGCAGCGCCATACTTAAGACTGCAAAAGGACTGTGTGATGGCTGGGGAGCAGCAGTCACACCCACCAGGTCGCAGTGCAGCTCCAGATTGAGGTCACCCTTGTTGGTGTGCAGCCGCACATAGCCCTTCTTCTTCACAAACTGGTAGCGCAGCACGTCCTCCTCAATGGCAGCTGCAAATAGAGCCTCAAGCTCCATGCCTGCCCTTGACCTGGCATGGCCCCATTATCTGGGCACCACAGCATTTGACACACGAGTTATGGCAGGGCAGGGGAAGCTCTCCAGAGAACATGGAGACCAAAGCCAAGGATCTGCCATGACTGTGAGCAGGCTTGCTAGGTACTGGAGCTGGGGGCCATGAGCACCCATCAGGCTCAGCAACTAAAGGGTGGGTGCTGGAGAATGTGGCTGAAAACATAGAAGGACACAGGAGGTCCATGCCAAGGACAGGCCTGAGGGGACAGGCAGTGCTCCCTGGCCAGGGCTGGTGCTCATGCAGCCTCTCCCAACACCAAAACCACTTCCACAGAAGGACACTCTTCCTGACGCTGAGCCCCTGCAGACCTGAGATGCTGACCTGCAGGAACCACAGTGGTGCCCAGGAAGGCAGGCAGGGAGGAGGCCCATCGCCTCCACTGCAAGCTCAGACCCTAGGGACAAACCGGAGAGGCAGGGGCAGCTACCTGCTTCATGCGTGGTCTCTGGCACCATGGCAGTAGAGGTGAAGGATGCACTGACCTTCCCCGTGGAGTAGTGAGCCTGGCAGAAACATGGTGCTGTTCAGCCCTGCGCAGGGCCTCTCCTCCAGCCCAGCTTTCCTGACTCCCACCCATGGGGCAGCAGGACAGATAGCCCATGCACACTGCCCCACCTGTAGGCTCGGACCTGGGACCCAGCAAGGACCAGAGGACAAAGAGCTCTGTCAGAGCAGTGGGGGAAGTGGCCAAGGGCAGGCCAGGGAAGCGAGTGTGGCCTGGGTGGGAGCCAGGGACACACAGACTCCAGCTTAAGTCAAACCCTGGGAATAACACACCACACAGGACTAGCCTTCTCTAGGGACAAGAGTACAAGAAACTTATTTCTTCCTAAAGGTTTCAAGTTCTTTTATAGTAAACACATTGATTGCTTTAATCAGGAAAATAAAAGTTCTCATGTTATTTTCCTCTTCTAGAAAGGAAAAAAAAGCGGGGATGCTTGCCCCATGAGAAAGAAAAACACCAAAGTACTAACAGTGACTGTGTTCTGAGGGAGATTACGGACAACAAACTCTTTCAGTTCTCCAAATTTTCCTAATTCCTCATGGGGGAGAACCTGAGAGTTGCTGCCCCTGGCCTCTGTCCTACCCACAGCTCTGGCTCACCAGGCTCTGCCTCAACAGGGGAGGGACAACAGACCCAGGCTGATGGGCAGGGCACAAATCCAGCCCCACCACAGCTGATGGGCATTGGGAGACAAGGACATGGTGGCCCCAAGCACCTCAGTAGTCCCTCAGTCTACTGGCTTTGCCTAGGACACCCACGGGCCCTGTTTCCCTGCCTCCACAGACCTGCATGTCCAGGGACTGCTGTGTCCTGAGGTGTAAAAGCAGCCTCTAGAACTACCAGAGCCAGCAGGCAGCTGCCACCCAGGCTGGGGCAGGGACTGGGCACAGGGCATGGAGGTATGATTGACCCTTCACCTTCCCAGAACCCAGCCATATTGGCAGCCCTGGAGATCTGGGCATCCAGGGCCACCAGGGAACCACAGCTTGGGGGGTGGTCCCGCCTCGCCTCCAAGGCATCCCAGGCTCCACAAACCCCTTCCCCAGGACCTCTTCCCAGGGCTCAGAGAGGCAGGTGATAGAGCCACCCACTCACAGCATTCAGCTGGTCCACTTTCTTCTTCTCAGGGGCCTTCATGGTGGCTGCCAGAATCTCATCCCCTTTGAACTCCTTGTAGAGCTCCTGCAGTGTCTCTCGGGTCTCAGTATTTGTGTTTTTCAAATAATAAGATGGGTCCTGCTTGGCCTTTTCCTCATCTACAAAACAGCACAGAGGCTCTGAGCCACTAAAAGCCACATGGGCCACAGATGGGTGGGGTGGGAACAAATCCAGAACAGACCACAGCAGCATAAGCGACAGGCAGGCTTGTGACAGCACCATGCTACTGCCCTGGGCCATGCCAGCAATGGTGGGGACAGCAAGGCCAGGTGCCCAGGGCTCTCCCTCCTTCATTTAAATGGGAGTCTTAGGGTGCGGGGGGG